CTGAGCCCTGAGGCTTCCCAGGACAGCCCAGCGCCCCGCGGCCCCAGACCCCCACCCGCGCCCGGCCCTGGGTTACTTACCAAACCGCCCCATCATCTGCCTGCAAACAGAAACACAGAGAGAGACACGTCAGAGAGACACGTCAGAGAGACACGTCCGAGGGGCCGCTCACCCGCAGGGAGTGCCTGCGGGAGGCGACGGGGTGATGCAGAATCAGGTGGGCATGCCCACCCGACGGGCTATTTATAAAACTCGACCACATGTGGACGAACCCTGTCCCGCAGGAAATCATCTCTATCTAAACACCCCTATTGTCAGGGGAGGGGGGTGAATCCTGGGAGTGGCCCACGTGGAGCACAGGCCAGCAGCTCGGCCCTCCCGGGAACAGCTGGCCCGAGAGCCCATTTCATGAGGAAACACGACGCCCTTTCAGGGAACCCCGGGACTAAAGGATCCCCAGGAACCCTGGCCAGGCCGGAACCACAAAGGGTGGACGCCCCGCTTCGCCTGGACGATTTCTGGGGCACAAATGCACAGCCCCTTCCCGGGTGCACACCTTCCTGATAGGCAAGCGATCTTTACTTCGTCCCCAAGTCCTCTAGACCTAAGTCCTCTGCCTCCACCTCACTTATCAGCTATTTTCTTGAGCACCTACAACGCGCGGGCCGCGAAGGCAGACATGAACACCCCTGGCCCTGTGCTCGTGGTGCTGGTGGTGACAGAGACGGTGAGCCCACACTTCCACCTACAGTGTGACAGACAGGAGATGCTGTGGGAACTACAGGAAGGCGGTCACTCCTGCTTGCAAACAGGGAGGGCTTCCTGTAGGAGGTGGCCACAGAGCTGGCCCTAGAGAGGAATGGGAAGGATGTTGAGGCTGGACGGGAGGTGAGGAGGACACCTTAAGAAACAGAAGGCTCTCTCCTCAGAGCCAGTGTGGACGGATAAATTAACTGGGACCGGGGGTCCCCCTGAGCATCCGAACGCCCACTGCCTCCCTCTCCACATTCTGGAGGCCCGCCTTCTAACACGAGGGGTGATGAGCCCGCGGGCTTTGGGGAATAACATCAAATGCTTTAGCACACCCGCTCTATGGAAGTCCAATGTTTGAAATTTCCCTTCATCTCTGCCTTCCTTCTGAGAGATTTTGAACATGATCAACTATATTTATTTATTATTGTCTGTCTCGTTCCACAAGAGATTTCAGGCGGCCTGTGGGAGTCCTAACACCTACGCCATACGTTTCTGTTAATCTTCTATTTGGGAAGAAATAATAGATCTGGAACCCCTCATTCAGATACCAAACTAAACTGCCACCTTGCCCTCCCTCATAGAAAAGAAAAGAAAAGAAAAGAAAAGAAAAGAAAAGAAAAGAAGAGAAAAGAAGAGGGAAAAGAAAAGGAAAGAAAAGAAAAGACTGAAGAAGGTGTGTGGAGGCTGAGGCCAGGCAGACGCCTGTGTGAAAACGTCACCGCCATGGGGAGGGCCGTGGCTGCAGCCGGGCCACTTACTCAGTGGTCGTGGTCAGCTCCTCCGTGACGTGGCTGGAATGCAGCAGGCCTTCCCGCTTCTGAAAACCCCAAAACGAACACGTGAATACACAGGCGCTTGCGCAGGTGGAGACGAGAGGAGGCGGATGTGGACGGGGCACCTGAAGCCGTGCAGCTGGCCGGACCCACGAGGCCACCGTGGGGACCACGAAACAGCAGTCGTGCAGAGCATCCAGGCCCCCAGGCCACGGGCAGAGACCCTATTGGGGGCCGGAAGCTGTCTCCTCCCCGCCCTCACCGAGGTTCTCCACGTTGCTCCGAGAGCTGGCGGCTTTGGGGGCTCGGGAGAAACCTGGCTCCCATGGGGACCCCTCATGCCACGCCCTGCACCGGAAGGTGAGGAGCATGAGGAAGGACAGGACCGTGGGAGGCACCCAGGGCAGTAACACACGAACATGGGCTGGCAGGGCCCCCCCGGAGTCGTGTCCACTCGGAGCCCAGAGTGTGGTCTCATTTGGAAATAGGGTCCTTGCAGATCCCATCAGCTAAGAAGAGGCCACGGGGGACCCGGTGGGTCTTCAGTGCATACGGCCAGGTCCTGACCAGGGGAGACGGTGGAGACACAGACAGATGGACACAGAGGAGAGAGGCCACGTGACCAGGAAGCAGAGACCTGACGGATGTGCCCACAAGTCCAGGGACCCCCGGATTGAGCCAGCCGCCAGCCGCCAGGAGGGGGAAGGCAAAGGGCTCGCCCCTGGAGCCCTCGGAGGAACCGTGGCCTCCTAACTGCGAGGGAATAAATGTCCGTTGTTTTATTTTTTATATTTTTAAAACGTGTTCTTATTGATTTCAGAGACGAAGAGAGGAGGAGAGATAGAAACATCAGTGATGAGAGAGAATCAGTGATCGGCTGCCTCCTGCACGCCCCACACTGGGGATGGAGCCTGCAACCGGGGCACGTGCCCTGAGTGGGAATCGAACGGTGACCTCCTGGTTCACAGGTCAATGCTCAACCACTGAGCCCCACCGGCCAGGCAGTGTCTATTGTTTTAAAGCAGCTACTTGGTGGCATTTTGTTAGAGCAGCTCCAGGACCATGACACGTGTGTGACACACTTCTCCTGGCATGTGAGGGCGTGATCCCCGGATTGAGCCAGCCGCCAGCCGCCAGGAGGGGGAAGGCAAAGGGCTCGCCCCTGGAGCCCTCGGAGGAACCGTGGCCTCCTAACTGCGAGGGAATAAATGTCCGTTGTTTTATTTTTTATATTTTTAAAACGTGTTCTTATTGATTTCAGAGACGAAGAGAGGAGGAGAGATAGAAACATCAGTGATGAGAGAGAATCAGTGATCGGCTGCCTCCTGCACGCCCCACCTGGGGATTGAGCCTGGCGTTCACTGCCTCGAGCTGGTCCAGTCTGGCCCTGACACACCTGGTCAGCTTCACCTGGAGACCCCCTGGCCCTCCTCCTCCTTTTGTCAGCCCCAGCAATGGGGGAGCCCTTGCAGTGTCTCTAATAAGCCAAGCTGACATTTGCTTCTATATTTTTATACACATCATTCTTTCTGGCCAACACATTTCTTCACCCCACGCCTCACCATCCTGCCTGGCTAACTAGCCTTCACTTCTCTGTCTAGAGGTCACTTCTGGGAAGCTTTTCACGCCACCTGTCCTGCCCCTCCGTCATGTCGCCCGAGAACACCTAACACTTACCTCTGTGCTCACACAGGATCACACCCGCCAGCTGTCTAGCAAGTGCTTTCTCAGTGTGGTGTGCTTGCACCAAACACTTGTTGTCTCCTTGCTGTGCCATGTGACCCTCTAACTCACTTAACTTGCATCACTCATGTCATGGATCATGATATAAAGATGGCCTGGGAGCATGCTGACTCGGATACTGCAGAAAGCTATTTTGCAGAGAGATTAAAACCCTAATGAATTGATATCTGCTGAAGCTGGGTGACAGGGTCAGGGAGGTTCAATATGCTAGTCTCATTACCTTGACATGTTTGACTTTTCTGTAAGTAAAGCAAAACAAAATAAAAATAAAAATCCTGGCTAAGATGCGGAACCAGTGGGAGGAGAGGAAGTCTGGCCTGGAAACATGGAGGGGACATGGCATCATACCCTGTATTCTGTTGTTAAAAAACACGTATGTGGTCTGAGCATCTTTAATTTTCTTCCATTCGATCCTGGGCTCTCTTGTCTGTGAATCTGTAATGATACAAGACAGCTCCGCACCTAATGAGAGAAAAAGAAAGGAACTCTCAGTGCAAGTGGAACAACTCCGGTTTATGTCACGGGACCTCGGGGTGGAGCTTGGCGGCCAGCTAACCCACCCCCACCACGAGCCCCTCCTGAGCCCCTTCAAGAGGCAGGGAGCTCACTCCCTGCTGGGCAGCCCCTGCGGACACCTCCCCAGCCCCAAGCTCCCCGTGTCCTGTGCTCAGCCTGCGGGTACTGTCCCCCCGCGGGCGCTGGCGGCTCTCTCACGGCCCCACCTGACTCATCTGGGGAGAGCCCCTGGCGGACCTGAACACTGACTCACTTTCTCATCAAATGCATGAGAGGCCGGTACCGGGTGCCGGGCCCGAGCACGGACACACGAAGCTGCGTATTTTCCAGGCGCGCAGTGCGACCTCGGTCTCATGGGGAAACCACTGCAGCTCAGAGGCACCCGTGTCCCCGGCCCCGCTGCTGGGAGCGGGGTATGCCTGGCCTCGTCCTTCCTCCACCTCAGCCC